GTTGCCTGCCCCTTCTTCCACAAGTGAAAGAAGCCTAAGCCTTACCTAGCCTAAGTAATCACTCATCTGTTGGTACGATTCCCACATTCCAAAAATGCTACAGTCTTGAGTTACAGATTTTTTCTGCCTGCCACCATTATCCCATTAGTCATAGGATACAAAGATATTAAAATAGTCTCTCTCTCATTATTATAAATAACTGAAACATGTGAATTTCAACCTTTAACCATGCTATGGATGGACATATCAGATTCTATTCTGTTAACATGAGTATTTTATAACAAAGTGATTCTGAGAAATGGTAATGTGTGTATATATACATTTTTTAGTTTATTCACAGATCAGATATATTCAATTTACACGATTTTCTACTGCCTTTTCTGAAAAACTAAAGCATGACAGGGAAACTATTTTTTGTCACATTGCCAGAGGCAGAGTTTATATAGGCAACGTGTATCAACAGCTAACCAAATTCCTAATATCCAGTGTCTGTAGAAATGCAACTGAAATTACTGAAGTTATAAAAAGAAAATCAATTGCTGCATCGTAATAATTTACAAGCATCCATTTAGTTTCATCGTAGTAAGTCCTGCCTGTATAGATGGTCCTTAGAGCTGAGTACAGAATGTCTCCTACAAATTCTAGTTTATCGTCACAATTTCATCACAACAGATTTCAAGTTTGTTCTTTAAAAGGTTTAATCATCTTCAGATTGCTTTCCTGAAATCATCTGACATAATCCAATTTCCACTTGCAATTATGTCTTTTGCTGCAAATTTCTTCTTTCAAAGCCACTGCTGAAGAAAAACGAGAACTATCCCCCTTCATATAGTTAACGATTTTGTCTTCCAAAAAGAGGATGCTATTTCATTTACGCCACCTTCGATACCTGGGTATTACATTTTAAAGAAGCCCCAGTTCCAACTGCTATCCCAACATACGTTTCTACTACTAATAAAAAGATATATCCTTACAAATATTAATAAGTATATCCTACCCATGGTATCATGTAGATAATTACCTGCACAGCTATTTTCTTCATGCTGTCTGGAGGAACATCTTTGAGACTAAGTGTGGCAGATGAGTAATTCTGCTGTCCTGAAATGAATACTTCATCCTGGCATTGATCTCCTGGAGTAGAAGCCTGGGGATGCTTTAAACAGAATGGAGCAGAAAAGACAACTGTCTTCATATAATTCAAACTAAAAGATTCTCATAAGCCCAGAATAAAAAATCTTAAGGGCTTTATTGTTCTTTATCTTCTTTGATTAACTAGTACATTGTTTATGTAGAAAATCTTATTAGTCAAGACACCACACCCATAAAATATTGATGGATATTTACAAAAACTAGCAACTGCAGAGGTGTCTTTGATCACCGATAAACTGGTAAGAAAAGTCAACAAATGTTAAGGACTGCCTATTCAAGGATTCATATGGTTAAAAGAAGTCTTCCGTTGACTTTATCCTGCTCACTATGGATACTATAACATCACTCAGGATGCTCAGAGTTAAAGAGTCATTTCCTCACATTTTCTTACAGACTAACATTATTAATTTTCTTGAATGCCTGAAGTATCTTACACTACAGTTTACATCATCAGAATTTGTTTGTGGGAGGAAAAAGCGTAATAAGATTTTGTTCAAACCTTTATCAACCTAGGTTAAATTCAGAATGGTAATCTCTTGTTCACATATGTACAAGGAAACCAGACAGTTTTACGTATGTTCAACCATTTATAAAAGCCAATTAGAAAACTCAACTTCATGACACTGAAAAGCCTTGCAGTAAGTTTAAGGCATATGAAGTGAAGGCAAGGTATTTGATTTAATGCCTATTAAAAAAACCCAGCACGTAAATTACATTATTTTTATTGAAAGCATTGTCCATATGTAAAAGGATAATTCTGTCAATTTAAGGACACCTCTCACAGTTTGTTCTTTCCCCCTCTATATATTGCAATAGCCTCCTGTAGGTACTCACTCGAACAATGTGCACACCAGAACCTCTTCCGTCTGCAACACTCAAGGCAACACTACCCTGGCTGCCATGCAGATCCCTAGAGCTGCCATAGTGAAAGCTGCTAACTGCAGCATAATTGGAATTAAAGGACCTAGACAGCATGCTCTGAATAAAGAGGGGACAGATTTAACACAGAGATTAGTGCAGCATGCATAAACCACAAGACATGTTATACATAGACTAATACAAACATATTCCATTGTCATGCAAGATAAAAACCATGCAAGAACAGTACCACTGTGATGTATAAAACACAACTCAGTGACCCCTATTTACCTTTATTTACTGTAAATCAGCATGCAATCATCAGTTAACATGCAGAATTACATGTAAATAAAGTCATTCAAATATTCATGTGTCTGGAAAAACAATAAAGGTGCACAGCTTATCAAAATTTCTCGGTTTTCATTAAATTTGCAACATATCAAATATGTTGTAGGAAGAGAAGCTGGCAGTCAAGATAAACGCCTGTGGAAAACCATCTAATTACCAGTTATTTTAACTCATTTTTTCCCCTATTACTGATACAGTACAAGTAAAAATTTACACAGAGACAGAGATTTGACTGTTTGACTGCGTTTTCTTGCTATTGCAATGCTGTCAACCTCCACAATTCATTCAAGAATGCGAACAAGCCTCATTTAAAAAAAAAGGGCTCAAAAGAAACCTCGGAGTCCACCCCTGTGCCACTGTAGGCAATCAAACAGGTAACATGAGCTCAAGGACAGAAGTGAGTGGTTTGATTTTGAGCTTCATTACCTTGCAAACCTGACCTCTGCAATATTGGCAAGGGTAATAGAAAGAAAGCAGTAGGCATAGTCGTCTTGCCACCATGGACTTTCGTAGTTGTAAGAACAAAAACAAAAACAACAACAAAAAAAGACTGCACAAAAGAAGAAAAGGAAAATCCTCCATGTGCCACCTGACAAATGAAACAAACCTATCTTGAGAAAGTGACAAAGACCCATGAAAAAATATGATCGTAGTAAAAGATATACCACAAAGCATCAAAACCCAGCAAACTAAAAGTTTTGGGTTTTTTTCATAAAGTTTCTAATTTTTCCAAGTAAAAAAAAAAAAAAAAGAAAAAAGAAAAAAGTTCAAAATACATATCATTTGACTAAGACACTGCAACAACTCTTACATGAATAAATACATTTTGGCCTTTGTCTGTTGACTACATATACTAATTTGATTTTGAAAATAGTCACTAGTCCTCAGGCTGATATTTGCTTTTTCATACTACCATTATCTTGTGTAACTAAAACTTGTTTAATAATCAAAGTCATATGCCTCTGCACATTCATACTCCCCAGATGCTCTGCTAGTACAGTCATTGGAAACTCCCTTGGAAAACAGTATTTACTGACAATACTTGGCTTTTCTTGGCCAAGACTCTTGGATAACCTCTCACTCAATGGCATAGTGAGCCTTCTTCATACTCCTCTTCTACATCTACCCTGTTCTCTACTCAATGGATTTTTCAGGCTTCCAGACAAGTCTCCAGAGGCTTTCCCCCTCTTGGGAGGGGAAGAATGTACTCAGCATTCAGGTCTCTCTTTACTAAACATTCAACCTGAGCTTTCAGACCAAACACCCAGATGAAACTGCCAAAGCCAGTTTTCCTTAGCTCCTTAGTGCCTCAAAGCATCTTCTTACAACTCTTCTCAAAATAGTCTCTATAATTAGCCAGGTGCCCTTCTTCCCCAACTTGCACAGGCAACTCCCTGAAGTCTCCTTACGGGAAGCTCTTCTCAGAGGCTCTATTTCTCTGAATCTTGTGTAAGTGGCAAAAAGACAGCTAAAAATAGGAAGAATGCATGGTGAGACTAGAAAGCTATCTTCTGAAAGTGTCTCTAGCAGACCACCGTACTATAAAGATCCCTAGATCCACTAGATTCACTCTTCTCTTAGAAGGACCCAAACAGATGGTCAATAGATAGTGACAATCTAAATCCAGATTTGTATTTGCAATCTAAGATAGATCTGCAATAGGAGGTACTAAAATTTGTAGAGGCATGAACTTGTCCATCAGGAATTAATATTTCAGTTAACTCAGTTTAGTGATTAAGGTCATTAAGATTTAAATGATCAAGGTGATTACATAGCCTGAGAGTAGTTTTATTCAGGGGTTTATAAGATCTTCTTTCTTGGTAGAGACTTTTTCTGAAGTACAAAAACTATTGTGCAATTGATGTAGGGAAGACATAAGAAGTACTGCAAAAATCATTTTTCTCCTCTACATTGGGCACAGTGTCTCAACACTAAATTAGAAGGAATCCACAAGTACAAACTGTACAGAACAAATACTGTTTAAAATTACATGGAGTTGTAAGAAAGTTTTAGTTTAACACAAGAAGAGATTCCTAGTGACAAATTTAGGAAGCATTTTTCCTCTACTTATTTTTAGCTGGGAAGAGAGAAACTGAGGCATTTGGAGTGTGAACAGTATTCCTCTTAATTTTGCTTCTCAGTATGAGTACAATGAAGGTTGTACGTTTCCTCGGGAGATTCCTGAAGACTGCTGCACCAGAGAAGACTCTTTCAGAAATCTGAATACGCAGATGCCATTAAACCCCCTGATTTTTATTCCATTAATTTATTCCATTAATTTATTAAAAATTAAATACGGAATAAATGTATGGTCTAAACTTCAGATTAAATATGAATGTTAATTGCAAGTACCAACTCCATTCTCCACCTGATTTGTTACAGTGTCTTAGGGTATAATGGCCTGCAAAATGGTAATTCAAATGTTTGAGGCCTGAGAAATCTCATTTCAGTTACGCTAAACTAATATACACTAACCAATATACATGCCATGTTCCACTATATTTTTGTGAAAGTTTACTAGAAATCATTCAACCGTGAAGAACACATATTAAAAGCTACAATACATCAAGAAAAAATGGCTACAATTACATTTACTTTTGTACAAAAATGTACAAAGTAAAAAAAATATTCAGCATATAAATCAGGATTTGTAGTCAAAATCAGCCTCTAATGGAATCAGTTTAGATGCAGGCAGTTAGTAGCATAGTTTGGGGGTTTACTTACATTCTTTTGAATGCTAAGAGTGAGAACATATTCTCCATTTTGCAGCTTACAAGACAACTAACAATTTCAGATTTCAAAAGGTAGTCTTTTGGGAATTGAAGTGCCTTAACACATTTACTTAGGTGCAAGACAATAAACAGGGGAATTACCTAAGAGAATTGCTATTGGATAATACTGTTGTAATTTTAAGACTGGCTGGAGTCTGTCACAACTATCCATGAAATTTTGGTATAGACAGGAACTAATAAAATTCAAATATCTGCAGGGAACAGGACTCTACATTCTACTTATCTTGGAATAGTCTTAACTGGTAACTTAACTGCTAAGCCTAAGTATTAGCCTTTTTATTTATTTATTTATTTAACAATACTTAGAATCAATTGCCAGCTAAAGGTGGACATAAGTTATCCTTTGAGGCTATATTAAACGTCTAGAAATCCCTTCACTTCTCATTCCCACCTTGACTATCTAAGATTCTTTAGGAAAAGTTTGCTCAAGGTGTTCTGGAATGCTTGAAATACCTAAAAGTAATGCTTTAAGCCTTTTGGAATAAAAGCACATAAGCAAAAAAAAGCTTTGTTTGAAATCTCATCGAATTCTACCAAGATACTAGTTTATCCCAAAGAAGAAGAACTTAAACATTATGAAACTGGAGTTACATATGGAAAATTACATATAATTTAAATTGTACTGTCATAAAATATTTGCAGGGTCAGAACTTCTGTTGTTTACATTCCAAATGCACAAGAATTTTGTTCCTTTTAAAGTGTGATGTATTGACTTCTGAATTCCACAAAATATCATTATAACACATTGTCAGTTCAGTAGTCAATTCAAAATGGAGGACCCCTCCCCCCCCCAAATCAAAATTTAAAACTAATAACTACTGAATGGATAGCATTCCTGTAATTTATCAGTGTCAAAATATTCTTCAGGCTATGATCTTATAAACACTTAAGCACTTAATTTTATGTGTGCACAGACCTACTGAAAGTTACTTTCCTTCACATATTGAAGCAAGCTTAACTTGCAGAAAACCTGAGGCCACATCAATTAAAATATTTTTGCATGTTAGGTATGTACTGTTAAAAAAAAAAAAAATCAATTCAAGAAAAACTTTCAAACTGGTTAAAACTGAAATTCTGTATCAATATTGAAACACTTGGACTTTTTTCTTTTAATAAGGCACTGTACACTGGCAACTTTAAGAATAAAACCACCTATTCTGATTTCTGAATTGGAAAGTAGGAATCAAACTTTATGACCTCTTCTCTAAAAGCTCTGCCATTTTAGATAAATAGTAAATAAAGTAGATAAAAAATAGAGGACTTAATTCCAGATGAAATTAGAATTGAAAGCAAACACGCACCTGATGAACTCCCAAGAGATCCACATCAAAAAAAGAAAATATACATATGTAAGGAAAGGACAGAGTCAGGCCCAGTAACTGTTTCTGCCTACTCAGCACATAGAAATATAATAGAGATTTGCAGATAACTGTTACAGATATTTATTATTGCAATTTAGGGATCAGAAGTTCCTCCACCACACAATAAAACGTGTGACACTAGTCTTTTTACACAGGCAGTATTTTTTTTTTAGTTTAAATTCCTAAATTAAAACTTTCCACAAGACCACTATAGTAGACTACTTTGACGGATCAGGTAGTAAAACTGGCAAGTCACACTCAAAAAGGAAAATATGCTGAAAAATATTACTGTTCTTAAAAACTCACCTGTGCACTAAATTTATGAGGTTGAGGGTGGGGCAGAATTGACTGCATGTTTTCCAACAGCTGACATACATAACCACTAGAGAGCAGCTTGACATTTAAATAAGGTCTTTTCTCTATCCCACAATAAAATATGCTTTGCATCAGGTAAGCAAATTGTTTCTCCTGAATATATGCAAAATTTCTATTTACAGTCTTATGAACTGTTTTCACCTTCCTTCAACCAGATGGGTAATTTTAGTTGATTGTCTTATGCCCCCCTTACAGCTTGTCAAAGGGATTACAAATGCTGGTTACTTGGCTGGAATCCATTGTTACTCATTTTTGCTGGACTTAAAACTATCCTGTATCTCTCCTCATGCAAATTAAACTCTTGAAAGTTTTTTTTTTTCTACTGTATCAGGTAAAAAGGGCTAATAAATAAAATAAGAACTAGCTTCTCCAATTTGTCCAACAAGCAGACACTGCTTATTTAAGTGGGTTTACCCCTCTCTCTCTCCTTCCAGTTACTAAATTTTATAAAAACAAAATAAACAAATACTTCAGGAGCTTAGCAAAAAGAGGGAAAAGAAAAAACAACCCCATAACAAAACCAATCCCCAAAACCCCACTACACCCTCTTCCCTAATAAGCACAGGATAGAAATAATAAACATGATTAAATTCAGTAACAGACTCAGAAGAGTCACAACAAAGGTAATACTATTAACCCACACTGTTGTGTATAACCACAGGCAAGAAGGTATGAATTAAATATTCATCATAAGGCTTAATTTTGTATACCTGTTATAAGATACAACCTGTCAGTGTTGTATCTTATGCTTTAAAAAAAGAAATGCCATTTCAAATTCATGAAAGCTTTGTCAAAGCAATTTCCAATAAATGTTCCTTAAATGAGCTCTGTAATTGAACTTTTTCCTTAAATACTTGTTCCTTAAATGAGTTCTGTAATTACCGAATTTTTTTTCAAACTTCAAAACATTTCAGAAGTCTGGTTTATAGATTAAGCCCCCCCGCCCAGCTAATTTTTAATTACAAAGAGAAATACTAAAACCATTATTTTAAAAGAACAAAGAAATATCCAGTAAATTCCTAGAATTTCCACATTATCATATTTGCCAGCTGCCATATAGGATCATATCCACATTTTTCACAGTTCAGGTTTTTCTTTTTAAGTCAGTCTTATCCCAGCGAATATAAAGTAGACAATTACAGACACATTGACTTTTAAACCCATAAATAAGTCTCAGATTGCTAAGTAAAAGCTACTTAAAAATGCTTCAAGGCCAGAACAAAAGAATCACACACATACAAAACAGACTTCTAAGATCTGTTAAATTAGATGCACAGCTAAGATTGCAATACCAGCTATTCCGTATCACTCTAGTAGAAAACAAAAATTAAGGTTTACATATAAAGCATGATAGAAAGCATGGACAGACATAAAGAGAATCAGGTCAGGCAATCAATTTCACTTCAGTAAAGGTGACTACACTGCTACAGTACCTGAACAGATATCACTGGTATATTAAACATTGTTCCTAACATGTCAAATGTAGGTGATATAAGAACGAGCTATAAACAAACTGCATTAGCAGTGCACTGAAGCTTTGTTTCCTTCTGCATTCAGGGATTGCTGGGATTTTTGTTTCTCTGTCATTTCATGTAAGATTTGATATATGCATCCAGGAGAATCGAAGGTCAGAGAATGTACCTTTTATTAAGGTTGGAACATGGTGAGGTTTGTGACCACCTTGCGGGACAAAGGGTCCCCACACTACAGCACAGTACTGTGAAAGCCTTAAAATTTTTTATGTTGTACATGACTCAAACTGGAGCAGAAGAACAGGTGCAGCTGTTGTGCAGGTTTCTTTAAAAAACAAACAAAACCCATCCCTTTCTATCACCAGAAGTTATGCAACTTAAAACAAACAAAAGCAAATCCATCCCTCCAAATACTTGGATTTCCAAAGAAAAGTTATAGTTAAAAGTAATTTTTCCAAGCATCTCCAATTAAATTTCTTTAGCTATCATGTATATTGAAGTATTTAGCATAATAATCACAAACCAAACTGTGTTCTTTCAGAAGAAATTATAAAAGAAAATCCATCTAGCTGGCATAATCAAAATGTATTTTGGCTGCTTTACTCACTTCCCCCCCAAGGAAACAGGATCAGGCTAATGACATTCTACCTATTATTTACTGATGATATTTTAAACTGGGTTAGCTGGACACCATAGATTACACTCTTCTAGTCTCTACTCAAATTCTTTGAAGATATGTAACTGTTCAGCTCTACATATCAGCTCAAATTCTTGATAGCATTTACAGTACATAAAGAGTCCTGTTCATCATCTCTAGTTATATCAAAACCTCCTGTGATTTCCTGAAATGAACAAGATTTTTAAGTGTTCTCATCACACAGCAATAAATATTAATTCAACAATCTGTCAGATACCCAACTTCAAAAGACAACTGGCTTGGAGGGAAATACATGTTAATTATGGCTTTTGAATTCTTCAGCAACTGAAGCTGTAGACTTATACTTCCAAATAGATTTTACTGATTTTCTTTTCCTTGTTCTTAAAGGGAAGATATATGGGGAAAAAAGGCACAACAGACAGATCAAGAAGTGTAAGGGAATATTTTAGTATAATACAAATACAATGCTACAATAAAAATTACATGGCCTAAAAGAGCTGGCCTTGCAGTCCAGCAGGTCAATGTGACATTATTTAATGTATTTTAAAGTAATTGGACTAAGCTGGCAAGTATGATGTAAAAACAACAGGACTTTTTTATCTTTGGGGAAAAGTTCATTTACAGTCTACCATTTGACTGTTTCTCAGATATTCATCACAAATACTTTTACCCTTTTTAAGGCAGTATTAGAAGTACTTTTTCAGTGGTAATTAAAAGCAGGTCAAAACACAGAGTATTTAACTTATTCCATATCCAGGTAACAGAAAGGTAGAAAAGTTTAAAAATTATTATTTTTACCTTTTCTAGCTTTTTTGCCTCAATATGTCGCAGCACCTGTTCCCTCCAGTCATGAGGGACTTTACTTTTTCCTGGAGGGTCTAATAAAGAATGCTCAGAGTTAACCCTTGGGTTTGATCTCTTTGAAGGGCTAGTCCGCGAGTAATTGAAGTCACTAACTGACATAGTTCTTTCTGGTATTTCATTCACCGATGGCCGAGCACTCTGTGGTCGGGGTACATTTGGACCATCGATGCTGTATGTCCTGGCAGAAAGAGGTCTCTGTTGCCCAGACATTACTGGTGGAGCTCTTCCCATTGAATGCAAATCTCTGTATGTTAAATAGTCCCCTTCAGGAACCTGGGTCCGCCTTGAAGGTCCAGTATCCCCAACATTTATAGAAGCTGTAGAAGATACACTGCTCTGCCTTTGAAGAGTGTGTCTGGTTGTTGCTCCTGGGAGCAGTCTATCATTTGGTGGAATAGCCCACATATCTATATGTCTCCCAGCCATCCGTTGATGAGTGTTATACACAGCGCTGGCTCGAACATTATTATGATTGGAGAAATTCATATTGGCAGAATGCTTTACATAGCTGGGGGTTTCTGTACTGTCAGACCTAAGCAGACGTGAAGGAGGCAAGCTGCCTTGTTCTATTTGGGTGTTTTGTTTCTGGGGCCACAAGGTGTCTTTCGCTGTTGCACTGCTGCTGTACTGAATATTATACTGGGGAGCGCAGAACATCTGTGTACCACTTGTCACTGATCCTCTCACTACATTAGCACCTTCGGGATTGTGATTTGAGTCAAACTTGAACACAGTTTTTGTAGAAGATACTAAATCAGATGACGATGATGACCCAGGAAAAACCTGCAGAGGCTGATCATACAGAAGCGTAGCGGATTTACTTCGGACTATGTTTTTTCCATCTACACTATCAGATGCTGATTTTACCACTGAGTTTGGCTGTTGAGATCCATTCTCATTGACAATATCATAGATTTTCAGACCACCGGTGTCCATACTGGTGATGCTGTGAGATTTCATCACAGAACCACTTCTCTGTGGGGACAAATCTTCGGTGCTCCTCGAAACAGACAGCTCAGCAGAATCACCATCAACTGTAGTGCTTCTTGTTAGTTTGTCTTTACTGGGAGACTGTACTGCTTCCTCAGGATGTCCGTTTACTTTATTTATAGGACATTTATTTCCATTTTCCAAGTGCTCACTTTCTTCTTTCGTGTTGTTATTCAAAAAGCCCTTTACTGAAACTATTTCCTGTGTTTGTAACCTTTCTACAGGAACTGGCACTGCCTCTTCACTAACCAGTTTATTGATATTCATGTTTATTTGGTCTAATTTGTGAGACTCCTCTGTAGAAGTGCTTAGATCAACACCTTTTCCTATCAGGCCTAATCTTTCTTCAATGCTTAATTCATATTCAGACAAATTTGTAACCTTCTCTTGCACATTTATTTTTTCTTCTACTGTAATGCTCAATTCACCTCCATTTTGCAAAAGATTATTCAAATTTTCGTCTTCCCTCCTGGAAAAAAAGATGGCTCTTAAAAGAAATTCCAAAAGAAACCAACATATTCCTTTAAGAACTGTTTTAGAAAAACTAATCATTAACATGCAACACAGCCATACTGTGCACACAGTCCACGACATAGACCAATATACAATCAGATTTATGACTTGCTACACTATCATTATAAAAATATATTATATAGAGGGCTCATTTCAGCAACGTTTGTGTCATCTGATTTCAGAAGCTTGTTTATTCAACAGAAATTATTAAAGACAGTTTAAAAGTGTCAAAAAGTAAAAAGTGACAATAACTCAATTTTTTTTATCAAATACTTGCAAGTTCCATGGCAATTTGGACAACGGTCTTGTTTCTATTAGTAATTAAAAAAAAAAAAAAATGGCACCATCTAACCAAAACCTCAAGAGGAGTAGCAACCTGTAAGTCCATTCTTTAAAAGTTTCTAAAAACCTTTTATAGTTATGTTAGTAATCAAACTGATCTTCAAAATTATGCAAATAAAAACATAGAGTTTTTAAAACGGTGTATTGAAGTATTTTGCAGGGATAACAAATTATAAGGATGAAATTATTATACCCTATTATTAAAACAGATGGGAACCACGTCTTGTATACTCAAATTAACCTCTGAATTTTATTATCCTTTTTTTTTTTTAAAGAGTACTATTCCATTATTTAACATTAAAATTTAAATTATTTAATGAATGATTAATTAATTAGAGGAATGGACACATAACATGAAAGATTAAGTAACATTTTTCTATTACATTTGCTCAGTGGTGTACAATATCTTACAAACCTGATCTTGGATAAAGCAGCAGCACGTGTTTCTTTGTCTGGAGAACAGAGAGAAATATCTTGGCTACTATCAGTATTTAAGGAAATAGAATCTGACATTCGAGAAGGAGAGGAACAGTTGCTGTTATTTTGATTGCTATTGTGGGTAGCTTCATCTGATAAGGAATCAGCATCTTTTGAATCATCTGAAATAAAAATTTGCCAATTTAGTTACAGACACATACATCTGTTTAATAGCCATTTAATGTGTGTATGTTATGGTATTTAGAAATTGTCTCTTTTTCTTCTGTGATTCTTACTACTGGAAACTAAAATGTAAGCTTATACCTTTGCGAACTTCATTTAAACTTCCAGAAGACTGTTGGCAATAGTTCCTATTCTTGAAATATTTGGCTCAATGTAAACATCCCTCACCTGTTAATGAAATTTAACTTGTTGCTTTATTCCAAATTTCCTTGGCATAAGCTAGTGCTACATTATGTAATATTTCCCCAAAATACCTATCAAATCATATTTCTGTTTTTGCGATGATTTCAAAGTTTTGAATTACATGAGTCTATTAGCCCCTATGAAAATGAAGTACACTGCTTCACATGCACGATTTTGAAAGTGTACACAGTTCCTGATTTTGAACATTGTATCATTGTTAAATAGCTATTATTAGACCAAGCACTCTGGAAAGACCTAGATCACTGGACAAGCTCTGTATAGTTTCATAAATGCAAAAAAAAAAGAACAGCAAAGAAAAACGTTCTCCTGCAGAGTTCGAATCCAATGCATTCCCATGTGTTGCAGATCACTTAGGACAACATTTTCGAAGTAATTTACACCTTTGCACATTGATTTTTGCAATGTATGCATACTTGCATACTACATCTATATAAAAATAATTTCTCTGTAGGACTTCAAGGCAGCCATGATTTTGATATAAGTGTACAAACAAATACAATTAAATTTTTGCTTCAAGACACAGTTATAGGTGCCAAAAGCATAAATTTTGTGAAACTAATGTCTATCTCCGGAGAAAAAGAAAGAAGTTTTGACTTAGTACTTTAGTCAGGCATAAAAACCCAAGGACAGCATTGATAAACATCGATCTTTTCATCTGCATGTGATCCTCAGCAGACTCTTTCTGCTACCTTTGTGTGGTTTTCTTCATCCCCACTAAATCTCACCCTTTTACATCTAATGGCCAGAAAAGCCTTTTGTCCTGGAAAGTACTGGACTAGGATATCATATGAAGCAAAATACAATTTGCTCTCCAATTTTTAAATTATGTTTTTTCTGAATCCTACGTCATTCCTTACTCTGAAGGAAATGGTTACCCAGACAGAAATTATCTTTCAGAGAATATAAAACTTAGGTAACAAAAACAATGTTCTCAAGTTTCCTGTTAAAGTAAAGAAGAAAAATAAAAAAGAGTAAAGTGACTCTGGAGAAAGAATTGCCACAAGAGAAGTTTATTCTTAAACCTTAGGAAGAAAGCACAGCTTCTCTGAGAAATTTAAACAAGTGATATTGCTGCCTACAGGAGCAATAATCCATAAAATCTGGGGGAGGGGGGAAATATGGAATATTTCCAAGGTAAATACCATTTTCTGCAATCCTTTCCTCAAGTGTATCAAAAGTGTGTTCAAGCTAACAGTCCCCCAGAACACATGCATCTCCTTTCCCTCTCTGCTTTTAAACTGATGACAATAATCAAGAAAACTAGGATGTCAACACAGTTTTCTCTACCACACACGCAAGTATAAGATATTGCAGAATTTTTTTTCCTGCTTTCATTGTTTAACTAGAGAATTGATCATCTTTCTTTTAAAACATACAAATTAAATCTACTTTCACATAATTTGATTGGAAAAACTAGCCAGTTTAAGTCAAGAAATTATCAGAATCACACAACACTTCTATTGCTTTTTATGGTATCTAACCTTTTTTGTTATTGCTAAGAGCTACCACTTTTGGTTGATTTATGGAGGTTTCTATCAGTGGTGGTCGCATTTCTGCCATTTTCATCTCTTCATCAGAGGAGAGTTCTTCTGACTCCTGGTAAGGAAAAACAGCTTTATGTTGTGCATTTTAAAGAACTGCTTAAAGGTTAAGTAAATGCTATCTAAACTGTCACCCACTGAACAATAAAGGGGAAAAAAATAAACAAGCAACATAACATAGGAATAACATAGCAACTGTGTAGTGCATTTGTAGTGCAAGTCAACTGAATTTAGTAATACTTGCCACTGAATTATGTTTAAGAAGCAGCACATGCAGACTTGCATTGCCACTAATGAAATCTGTGGGAGCAACAGTCAAACAGGTAACTGCAAAAACCTACTTGGACCAAGGCAGATCCAGCCTCTGTTCCACTGGAGAGAACCTCTCGTTCAGTTCAAGCCAGAAAGTTATCACTGAACCAGCAAACACCCCAATACCCAAATACCCCAATAGCCCAAAATACCCAAACTGGGTATTGGTTTTGCAGAAAAGAGCTCAAACTGCAACAGGTATAGAGTAGCATGACCAAGACAATCTTAGGAATGGAGAGCTATGCTATGAGAGAAGACTGAATGAGCTTGGCTTGCCTAGTCTAGCAAAAAAAGAGCAAGTGTAGCTTGGGTTTATAACTTTAAAGTTACACTGAGGGTAAATTCTAAAAGGAAGAGAAGTTATTTAACTTCAAGAACAATGGCAGAGGAATAAAGCGATGCTGAATACATTTAAGCTAGAAATCACTAGTTCCTAACCATAAGATGGAGCTCAGTGCACTTATGAAAGAGATTAACTGACAAAGCTGCTGCAAGAGCAGCCATGTGAGTGATCCAGTGTCCTACTGCCAGCACTATATTCCTATCATCTTCAAAAAACGATTGTTTCCAGTAATATTTTGAAGAAAAAAACCCCTTCCTTCCCTAAAAGCGGAAATTTCTTTCTAGTAAACATGCTTCCTATTACAAATGCTACAAAATCCATGTTGCAGATTGCAAAAATAGCCTGTCAATGTTCACTTTTTCTTACAAGTTTCAGAACATTTAATGTGTGGAACCTACTGGAGCACCACCTTTCCCATGATACTAACTACCAGGCCAGTTCCTTTGCAAGCTTTCGATTGCTCCCACTAATCAGATATTTTGTCATTTCAGTGACAATTAAACTCAATTATTTAATGAAGAATTGACAATCAAGAAAAACCTGGAAAATTCTAAGTATGAGTCTTTTCACAGTTTGATACTTAAGTCAACTTTTAATTGAGTTTGCTTAATTTTTCTTTAAATGCATGTATCTTTCATCATGAACTTTTTATTAGCTATTTCAACTTTTACTTAATGTAATTGGAAGTGAGAAAAATACTGCATTGCAGACCATCTGTATTTACAGTGCTTACGGATAGCAATTTTCTGCTATTGTCAACATAAATTTTCATCTCCCAGAGTAAGAAATTCAATAGAACACCAGCACAATTCTTTGACTGCTATGATGTTCATTGCAATGCCATACCTCGAGTGTGTCTTCATGGTTGACAATTGTTTTCGTGTTCTGCAAGGTTTTAACAAGTGCAGTCATGTGTGAATTTGCAGTGCTGTGCTCAGCTTCTGGTTCAGTAGGCTTCTGTTTTGAATATTGTTTTCTCTCATCTGCTTTGTTCTTTATTGAAGCAATTTCTGAAGTCTACAGGATTAAGAACATTAGCAGACAAAACATCTTAAAAGTTTTTCAGTAACATATGATATTTAGAGTTAACATTTTGGGAAACTATGGAATGGAATGGAAGATCTGAGCTTTGAAATTATAAAATATGGTGTGAAATGCAGAGGAGTCTCTGCAGATTACTGAGGTACAGTCCCTACCCTTTGTCAATGAGTTTGACTCTTCTCCTTATTGAGGTCAATTTGTACCATTAAATTTCCAGTTAAATAAAAAAAAAAAGGCCAAGAATATCTACAATGAGACATGTCAGCACCAAACAGTAGTCCTATCACCTATCATGCTACATCAACCTGTTAGAGACTCCTGACTCCTGGGCCAACTTGCTACGATTGCCTTCACAACTTATCACATAAAACCTCCAGTCACAAGGGCAGCAGTAAGATCCTTAGAGATTATCCTGAATTTCATTGTGAAGTCTGCAGATAAAAGAGGATCAGAGAATGACAGAGATACCATCCTCCAGAAACCAAAGCTGCCAGCTCCTTAACACATCCATAGCTTGTATTTGCCTGAGAATCAAGTCACTTTCCTTGTTCTTAGTGTCAGAGGAAAATTGCTACTGCAAACCAGACATTTATTACAGACTTCTTTAGATGGTGAAGAGGTAAGTTCTGCTCTTTAATCTGGCAATTTTTCTTGCTAAAGCATTAGTGAGGAGGAAGAAGAGAATTAAAAGGAATCAATGACACTCTAGATCTTTGGAAGTTCTTGCAAAGTCAGAAGAGAATATTATCTCTAACCTTTACCCCGACATCTTTTACAGAAATTGTCTGGCCTTCTCGTTTTGACTCCTTGGCAGTATCTTCAGTAGATTCTTCATCCTTTAGCCTATGTACAATTGTCTGGACTGTTTTGACCATATTCTTCAGTTCATCAGGATATGGAGTTGGATATCTCTTCAGGTTGCCTTCCTGTATAACAAAAAGAAATAATGTTCTACACTTAATTAAATGCCATAACTAAAACATCAGCTTTAAAACAGACAATGAGTTAGGACAAAACACAGAACAATCTAAGATTCTCACTTTGCGGTTTGAGTCTACCTGGATTGATGCAAACTTAAGTTTAAAAAACCCAGCGAGATTATGAATCACTCCCTACCCCCTGCCAAGTGTGTCCATTGACTGCAAGCAGGAAGCATTATGACAACTGTAATTTACGTAAAGAAAAATCAGGATTAATCATTGTTTCCCCACTATCCTTCTCTGTGGCACCACCAGTCAGGGAGTCTCCTAGTTATGCCCTACATTGCCTTACATCAGCTGAGAGATTTTCCCTTGTGCTCCACTTTAAAAGACCTGGCCAAAAAAAAAAACCCCAAAACCCACAACACCCAAAAACCCAAAAAACCCTCAAAACACGGTGTTTTATCCTGTTAGGTACTCTTAACTAATAACTGAAGACTTGATTTCTTCAGCAGAGTGAAATCCACCGCCCAAGTAAGGAAAAGGATGGGATTCACGGGTGGGGATAAGAGGGAGGGAAGCACCAAGTATTCAAAAATAAATTCAATACTAACCCGAGGCGGTGCCTCTCTCTCATCTTTGTCTTCATCACACTCAAATGCCACCTGAGCACGCTGTTTCCGCTGTTCCTCCCACAGAGATGGATTGAAACTTTCATTATCAGATATGAACATGACTAAGAAAAGAAAAAAAAAAAAGAGACTCTCATAAGAATAGGATACATTATGCGAAACAAAAATCCTCTTTTTTCTTCTCGTGGATGGGATTGGTGTGCTTTTGTATGCATTCTTAAAAGATAAAAGACTAGCAGCACCATTAATTGAAGACTAGCTGCACTGCCACTGCTTTATGAATTTGGCTATATTTTCATAATAGCAAAATCCTATCTGTAAAGTAAAAAAATTCATACACACAGCTGTACACCAGTCTTAACATTGACACTTGAAAATTTTCAGCAGAACTCTCTGCTGCAAAGTATTTTTATTCATATATATTTATAAATATGAAAATATGTATTTGCATATATATACATGTAAATTATACTTATATAGATTTACATAGCGTGACTTCAGTGAGGTGGTCTCATTAAGCATGTATAAAAGCATTCACCTGATTTCATTTAATGAAAATTTAAAAATGAAGAGTAAGAATGACAGTGACAAAAACCTGCATTATTACTAATCCTGAAAAAACCTAGGCAGCTAAAATCTAAGGTAAACACATGATTTTGCAGAAGTTATACAAATGACAGGAGCTTTACGAAGTATTTCTTGCTTTATTTTACAAGAGATAAAAAAATCTTTTGGGTACCCGCTGTCTCTTATTCTAGCATGTCTCCATGCCTTGTGTTACATCAGCCAGGTTCTACTTTAGCATGCCAAATAGTCTAATAAATCTGCCATCACCACCCCAGCAAATGTATATCCTTCACTAGCAATGCCAAGACTGTTCATATTAACTACTTCTATACCTGAAATTGAAAAATACTTAATTATAGGGCTCAACAAGTGCATTGGAATATTTGTTACTCTGCATTTATTGGGCAAACTTACAGTTTTAACACATCTGAAAATATTCTAATAGACTTCACTGTCACCAAAACTGCTCCTGACCAAAAAAAGAAATTGATAAGAATTTTAAAAATTTTAATTTTTAAAAACACTATCTATCGAACTTTAAACCTTCCATTGGGAATGACCACCTCAGAGGCAAGTATTCTGCCAACTTAAGCCAAACAAGCAGCTCTTCCCTCGTCTACAGAAAGAAATCCCAGCATCTGGGTAAAAAAAAGTTCAAATGGAGAGAATGCTTTCAGGAACAATCTTGAACTTCACTGAATCTCCAAATGATTTTATAATTCTCACACTCTATCAGAGGTATTGCAGATGCATTATCTGCATTAGAAAGCACTAAAAGTGATTCACAATTTACTGGTTTTGCTGGTATTTTTGATTACTCCTCTCTCAGTGTACTAGGCACTTGTGCCATGGAACAGCAAACATTGCCACTTGTCAGTTTTCAATTATTTCCATTGATATGCGTCCCCCCCCTCCGTTTCTGTTAAAGCAGCACAAGCTTTTTCCTTTTGCCTGCTGGGGAAAAAGTGGAGAAATAAAGGATTTTTTTTAACTCCTGATGGGGTTACTCACAGAATGTAACTTATTTTCCTAACTATTTCACAAGTGTGCAGAAGCAACTTTCTGGCAAGGTCTTAACATTTTGGGCCTAACTTTTTATAAAACAGTTCGAACTAACTGTGAGCAAAATGCTTTTTTTCTGGACCAATTTTTTTTTCTTTCAAAATGAAACACAGACTGCTATGTACTTTTCCAAAAATACGTACTTGGTAATGGAGGAAACATTTTGTCTAACATTCTGTTAAAATAGTCAGTCTGAAGCAGACACCTGCTAAGGAGAATTTCACCCCAAACCATTAAGCTCTGCCAGAATGAAATAGGGTGTCACTATGGGAAATGGCAACCATCGCAGAACATGATCCCACCAGTCCATTCGTCACCTCTCTCACTGAAATAGTTTCACCTAGAATTTATCAATACATAGGTCACATTAAGTTACTGTTCTCATTCTTCAGATGTAACTCTTCATTACTTACAAGTTTACTTCAATCTTGTATTTAAGTATTACCTAGTGAAAATTATATTAGCTGGACAGTCTTCCCATTATTATTACTTTCAAAAGTGAGCATTCTGACAGGGTGTTTCAGAAATTCTTACCATCCTCAGTCCTTGGTTGCTGGGGAAACATGTAATTAGTAAGCACTGTTTTCTGTGTGTCAGGGTCAGCTTCTTTTTGAAGAGGGATAAGTGGTTTAGACTAGGAAGCAAATGAAAGAAGGATATGTTATGAGAATATATATAAAAAAGTAAATATGATCTACATATCACAGAGCATGCCTGTCCCATTACTTTGAAGACTACTCTGCCTTGTATTAAACATTTCTCCTCTGAATAATTTTCACAAAATGAAGTTATTAACATGTCCGTCTTTGATGACTGGTTTTGACTGAGAACTGAAACTCAGTAACAGCTTTAAGAGGAAAGCAAACACTGGATATTCAAAAAATAACCCTGTTTCTTGCTAGGACTTATTGCTATCCCAAAGTAGGCTGATCTGGAATATAAAGATATATTTGGCCATTTAAAGCTGCAGACAATCAAAAAGAGAAAAATTTTGTACTCAGTTTTTCATATTGACACCAGACTGAATATCTCCCACCCCTTACAAAAAGGGACAGGGGATTCTTGAAATTACTGTATTAGTAAAAAGTGCTTTCATTATACTATATCTGAGGCTAGTGGATTTCTGGCAGCCCTGTACACCTTAATGACTTTCAGGAAATCAGCATAGTACAGAGGGCTTCAATACACAGCAAAAATACAAGCTACAAGCACATGAGTTACTCCTGAATAGCTTGAAACTTGGACAGTCACAGAGTCAAAGGCGTGGTAAGAAACGTCAAAAAAAGGCATGCTAAGTTTCCCCGATGGTATAGCTGTGGAAGAAACAGCATGCTACACATTCAAGTACTAGCTTATCAAGAATTAACTCTCCTGTGTAAACAAGCCTGAATTAAGAAAAACAAAACCCAAAAAACCAACTTCTGTTAAATTGCATTTCCTAACAGCACAGAACTTTGCTAGAAGTATGAAAACTTCCAAGGACAGGTAGGCTCAGTGTTGTTTATTTCAGGAGAACCGACATAGTAATGTCAAGAAAGTATTGATGTATATACACAGTATCAGGTCTCATTATTTAACAGATGACTTTGTACTTATCAATTCCATTAGGAATAAAGTCAACAATCACTTATTTTTAATTTTAAAAAAGTTCACCTGATTGTCTGATAGCCACATAGCAGTGAGCTGTTGCAGTTTTGTAAAGGTAAATGGCAAATTCTTCAGTCTGTAAATTACAACAAGAATTCATATAAGTACACTTATGAATACTGTTAAGATTGTAAGAAACAATGCTGCACTAGCCTGTAAAAATGTTTAAATAGGACATTTACAGATATAGTGAAATTAATAACTATTGACACTTGAAAGGCAATAGCATTTAATTCAGATTCAAAGCTATACCTGGAATTAAAAAAAAAAAAACAAACAAGCAAACAAAAAACTGCATTTCTACCCAGTTTAGCAAGCCGCTTAAAAAAACAAAGTGACAATGTAACTTGAACTTCACTCAGTTCAGTTTGAATCTGAATTCAATTCAGATTTGACTACAATTTGAAGGCAATTAACCTGAATTAATTATTCTGAATCCTCAGAATTTTATCTTTCAATATACATGCACACCAATTAAGAAAAAAGTGCTACACCTGAAAATTGTTGGTTTTTTCCAAGATACATGTGTGGGAAAGGGGCTGCCCTGGATAATGGAATTTCTGGCATTAATGGGTAAATCAAGCTACAGATCAAGTACAGAGAAGCTGGATTGGATTCCAAACAGGAAGGAGAGCTCAGACTTATTTCTCCCAATGTATTTCATTCCTACAAATTGGCAATTCCCAAAAGAGAAATGTTTTGTCAGTTTTTATTGACCAGCTCTAATAAAACACAACTCTCTTTTCCCGCTTCCCCAGCATACTCAAGTGTTTTACACTATATTGTGATACTGTTGTGTGTCTTCCATATGCAATACAGGAAGCTATTAACTTTTAAGTAAGAATCAAAAGTTTTATGACAATAACCAAACTAATTTCCCAGAAAAATACATGCTAACAATCATGAATGTATTGAAGTTGTGCTTCAATGCATATGGCATGTGCTAAGTCATTAAAATAAAGACAGCTTAATACAATGGAACAGCAAGATCCAGAATACAACAATAATACATTAAATACATGCATCTCAGTCAGCTTCTAAGCTGTGTGCGAGGTAAGGAAAGATAGCATAATATATTCGTAACAATACCTCTACATTATTACTGCATTTTATACAACTTCTACTTGAATAAATGCATTCACAGACCTATTGTCACTCAGATTGATGACTTTTAATTTCTGCATATCACCCATTTCTTCAGGAAGAAATTCAAGCTTGTTAGAATGCAGAAACAACACTGTTACATGCTTCCAGTTTCCAATCTGAAAAAAACCCGAAGTATTAATTCGTCTTCACAACTCTAAAATATGCAAATTTTTACTGTTTTAAAACAATTAGTATTACAGCTATTTTTGCCTGTAAAGTATAATTAGATTTATTCTTACTTATTAAACCTTCTTTTAGTTTCAATACACTAGCAACAAATTTCTACTTCTTGCTTAAGAAAATTCTGAATTTCATTATTTGTATACGTATATTTGTGTATGTATATTTGTTTACATCCTCCTTTAAAAAAATAGACGAAGAAAACCTACTCAAGAATTATTAATTTGTTATCCAAATGTTGTATAGACAATATAGTTTAAAATACATGAAAAAAATTCATTTTAGAGTTTTGTAATTAAATACATACCTCTGATGGCAGCTGTGTTAGAAAGTTATGATCTGCAGCAAATGTTCTTATATTAGACAGCTGCCCAACAGATGAAGGCAATGTTTCAATCTCATTGAAACTACAGTCCAGTTCTTCTACTGATATTAACCTGCAAAAAAAAAAAAAAAAAAATTACTCCTCTATACAGGTCAATTCATCCAACATTAATTGAATACTTTAAGTTTAAATGAAGTTAATAACACTATTAATTACAAATCTCAAATTTAATTAAGAAAAATAAAAACACTCAAATCCAAGGGAATTCAAATCCAAGAAAAACCCTTTACTAATTGCCTAAAATGTGTTTTGGGGTTTTTTTTTTGTTTGTTGGTTGATTGTGGGGTTTTTGGCTTTTGTGGGTTTTGGGGGATTTTTTGTTGTTTTGTTTGTTTGTTTTTGTTTGGTTGGTTTTTTGTTTGGTTGGTTGTTTTTAAACTCTCCTTTACACTGTCCTCGTAAGAGAGCATTCAGTAAAAACAGGGGGGTCAGCAACACCAAATGTTTGTGTACTACATGAAAACGTGCTAGTGCAAGCCACTGAAAACATTCAGAATAGGGACAGATCATAGCCAAACAGGAATTGAATGCAGTTTCTGAACAAGAGAAGAATTTCAAGAGTTAGAGACAGTGAATCTAAGAATCTGGCAGTGAAGAAGTATTTTGTAAATTCTGACAATAAAAGATAACTGGCATTAATTTCAATAAGAGAACAGAAATTGGAACAAATACCCTTCAATCGTATAGCCCTTAATTATGAACGAATTATTTTTGCCATCATTTGCGAGTTTTAAATTAAATTGCTGAAGACCAAATTATACATTAAAAAAACCTGCTGATGAACAGGTGAAAATTCTCCTTATAATATAAAAAAAAGATAAATGTGTGTGTGTTCAGATTCACTTTTTAGAAGCTTTTTGATAGTGGTTCAATCATTTGCAATATTTACACAGCCACAGCTATGTTACTGCCAAAACCCAGTTTCACACAGCTGACTGCCTTTTTAAACAGCTTGTTTTCTTTCACACTCAATTTTTTTTTTATGATTGGTGGCTGCATTAATAAGTGAGGAACATAGGTCTTTTGGTATTAAATAATACAAAAAGAACATACGTGCTGCAAACTAGAAGATATGAAATTACTTGCTTTCAATTTTGTTAAGACATTAACATGTAGAAGATATTAAATCAAGTAGTTGTAAAAACATTCAAAAGAGGAGCCATTGTTACAGAAAAGTGTGCAGAAAGGCAATTCAACCTTTTATTCAGGTGAAATACCTACCCTCCTATGGAGTCTGGCAAATAAATTAACTGGTTTTCATCAATTTTAAGTGTTGTTACCTTCTTCAGGGAACCTGTAATAAATGAACAAGTAAATCAGAAAGGACATGTGAGTTCATTAAGCTTAGTTTTAGTTTTAAATTAAGGGGAAAAAAAAAACTATGGGCCAGCAACCACATCTTCTGTATTCCCTGGCATTCCCTGCTATATTCCTAAGGAAATAAGCAGATGAGCTTACAGAACTTGTTTGCCAGCTTACCATGTGCCAGCCATGGCGGGGGGAGGGCAGGGGGAGAGAGAACAAATAAATATTTTTTCATCCATTTACAAACTACTGTATAAAGTCAAGAATGCCCCCAAACAAACATAGATTTTATTATTCAGCTACGCATTACAGCTTTATCCAAAACTGGCACTTTTAATCAATTGAAACTTAGATTTAAAATGCCATTTGTCTATTTTCAAGTGTTCTGTGTCTGAACTATAAGCTTTTAAGACATGAATAACTGAAAATACAAACCGATAGACTCTGGCAGTTGCTGAAGTGAATTACTGGATAACAGTAGGTCTTGCAGGCTTTCACAAGCTGAAATACCTTCTTCAACTACTTCAATGTTGTTTTTAGAAACATCCAAGTAGGTCAGTTGTTTCAAAGTGCCTATGAACTAAAAGCAAGAGAAAATAATGCATTCTGAAATACAATTTTATGCAAAATATCCAAGCTTTACAATGAAATATTTTGTGCAGATACACACAGTTGATGTTTTTACACACACACAGATGCACACAGGTCTCTCTAAAGTCAGTTTTCTGCAAATTCAACAGTTTGATCAGTTACTGTGAATCAAGAAACTGAAGCTTTAGAACAGACTTCAGACAGAGATAGATAATGTAAGGACATAATCAGGCTCCAGTAAAGTCTTTTAATGCTTATTTTTGCCTTTTGTGTAAAACTGCATCCTACTTAACCTGAAAAACAACAACAACGAATCCCTAATTGTACTAAACTGAAGAAACAAGCCAAAATATATGCTTGTATTACCTTTCCATATGAACCAAGAATAAGTTCGAAGATTTGCGCATACTACTGTACTAATATCTTCCCAGGGAAAATGCAGTCACTTTCACAAATACAGTTTTACTTTTACTGTAAAATAGAAATGTTTAATACATCCACTCAACTGTTCAAGGAAGAATTAGTTGAAGTGAGAAAAGACAGTAAAGAAGAGTACTGATCAGGCAACAAAGCCTCATGTCAGAAGACTGCTAGTGTTTTTAAGTCTGAAAACAGACCAGTTGCTTCCCGAATTTCAAATACTCATTTACGAGTTTACTAGAACATAAGCACAGGTTCACAAGTACTGCAATAATAGGTAGCCTCGATCCTATGCAATTCTGAGAGATGTCAGGAACCCAGACGAAGTCAACAGAACATTTTCTCAGGAACTGGCTATGCTCCCTATATATATGGCACCTGAACCGGTATTGCCTGCTTTACAGCCATGACCAGTAAAAATTCACACAACATATTTGTGCTACAAATTCCTGCTTGCTGTCTAACACAAAATAATCCCTTTTTGGAAGGACCAATCAATCCCAAATTTGATCCAGAATTTGATCTAGGATTTTTACCCCTTTCCTGAATTGGAACATAATTTTTAGATGAGAGGTATAAAACTTGAAAGAAAAGCTGCGTACCCAACTCTCATGTTCAGTGACAATTTCTAAGTAGACTAGTTAAGCATTTAAATGACATTTAGTCTTTTGGCTTTAAGTAACATTCAAATTACATAGCAACTTTAACATATGTGACAGCTGACAAAGCAAATACCACTGTAAATTAAAATACTAAATGTTTAAAACAGTAAAAGGACTTACCCCTGGAATAAGCGTTAGTCTATTACCATCCATCCAAAATTCCTTTAACCCACTTAGTTGTTCAAGTACTTCAGGCTGTAAAGGGAAGCCATTTTTTAAAAACTTCATACAGAAAATAGTGAAAGGCAAAAACAACTTCAGCAATTCATCTATTGCAACTTTAAGTAATATTTTATTATAGCTGTTTATTATTATACAATTGTTTCACTGGGACATCAAAGAAAACCCAGATAATTCACTTTTTGAAATGTAAATATATGCTAGAGATACAAAAATCTTTTAAGAACTTGATCACAGCACTAAATAATCCTTACAGAAAGTCGTGGTTTGGTTTTGGTTTTTTTTTTACAGAAAATACTATTTTTCAACTGGAGCACACAATAAATAAATGTTATGTGTATAATTTCCTCTCTCATGGAGGAGGTCTAAAACCCCTTAAATTCCATCAGGTCAGAAGACCTGTTTTTTAAAAACCACAAGATTTGTTTTTGGGGAAAAGAAAAACAAATTTTAATTTTCTACCAACAAAGGGTGCATCTGCATGATACAAGCAAACCACTCCATCCATAAAGTGAAGTGGAGAATTGTATTTCCGTTACAACTTACTGTTATAAATATGTTACGTATCAAGGAAAGACCAATTCTTGGTAAACATCCATGTTGCATATGTTTTCCTATTTAAACTTTCCTCCTGAGAAAGTAATACAAAACAGGTGCTTCTGCACCTTAACAACTACAAGCAAGTTCAGTTAAATGCAGAACTCAATTTTGTTATATTGCATATTCCTGCATAAGTTGCCGTCCTGACTCCCAATAGTTCATTTTCCGAGAGAAAATCTTAACTGAAGACACCTTTCAGACAGATCTTTATCCAAAAAAGCTGCTTCAAACCTTTTTGTTCTTTTACCAAAAGTTCTTAATGAAATAAGTTACCAGTAGTTGACTTTTGTAGCTAAAAGGCTGGGAAAGATGAAGCAATCAGCTAAAAATATACCCAAACAGGTAATTTTGCAGCCTATACTTAGTTCCTGGCTGTTATGGCTTAACGTGGGCCTGGACACATTAGTTTAAGGCTCCCACACAAATACCTACCCTATAATGAGAACATGGCAGTAATGGTAATGGCTAGAAGTGTAATAATAATAATGAACAATTCCTTAAATACACTTTCCTATCTGCCAAACCATACAATTAGGCAAGTGTTCAGCTCTGCATGATCTACTCGTGGCACACAAAGGCTTGACATTATTATATGGCAGGTCAGTATGTTCCACTATACTTCTATTTCAATTCCTTTATCCAGGGAAGTATTTGTAGAAGCAGAGAGATGTTAAGTGATTGTAAATATAAGATGTATTTGTCTGTGAGATCACAAATAACAAACAAGTCAATCCATGCTGAAGGAAAAATATGAGCACCTCAACTGTAAATACTATTTTGAACAATATTGAAACTTAAAATAAATATAGTTTCCCTTGGATCTAATAATTTGTACACAATAATAAGAGCAGGTTATGGACAGCTTATATGGAACTTGCAACATTAAATACATGATAACCAATAAGTGTTTAAAATTTATTATAAGCCAAACAATTATGCTTGTAATTCAAACATATATTACCATTAATTTTTTACCAGTACAGTAACCACACTGTACCACAGAGTGTTATTTTCAAATTGAGGAAAAACATACTCATATTCATCAGAATATGCACATAATTTTTATAACAGGCCCCATAAAGTACTACAAGGTATACATAATATTTGCTCAGTAGCAGAACTCTTAAATTGGTGTTTACATTTTCATATTGATTAAAAATAGATTAAAGGATAAAGAGATTTATAGAAGATACAAAGCTCTGTTACTAAGGCAAAACTCACCACTTCTGTGAATTCATTACTTCCTAAGTCCAGTCTCTCCAGTTGAGTCAGTCTGGACATGGTTCTGCACAGGAAGGGGATTAATAAGGAATTAGATTTAAGAAAATACCAGTTACATCCAATCTTCCTGTACTAATACAAATATATTATTTTAATCAGTATTAAGTAGAGATGCTGTTCTGTAACTGGACTGATATCTAAATAAGGTCAAATTTTCACACACTGTTCAACGAGGCACATACTAGTGATCATGTTGACTGTCACACAAAGAGTACACTGCAACTCATCTACAGATTAGTTTACAAAAACTAAAGACCACTAGAGTAATCTTTATGATAAAGAGTAACTCAGTGAAATTACTCTTCTTTTGAGTGCTCCAGCTCTTCACCTACAGTCACAGTAAGTCTTCTCAGCAGCCAAAGGCTGGTTAACTACATGTTTTCCTCCCAAAGACCACTGCCTAATGACTAAAACAGAAAAGACCACTGTTGAATCACAGTAACCAACAACACCTTTCTCCCTCTCCAGGCTGCTGACAAAGTTGCTTCCATATGATACGGTCTGGAATCCTAATTATTTCTGTAGTCCTACAACAAATCAGATTACTAAACTGGATTTTGTGACACATCAATACTCTTTAAGCCAACTTACGGCAAAGATTAAATCAAGTAAATAAAGTAAAATCCATTATTTCAAGCTGTGCTTTGGCAAAATTTTTCCTCCATTTAAAGTTTACTTTGGGTATCCCATAGAGATTATCTACCACTACACGTGGTGGCCGACACAATTGGCATTCCAGTCAACAGTAGTACTACCTAAAAATATTTTCAAAAAGGCTGTGAATCCCTGATATGACGTTATGTTCTGTATTTATTTAATAATGGATTTCCATAGAACAATTAATAATATCTAAAACTTTCAAATATAAACCGTAAGTGTGTACATACTATAAAATTCTAAATAAAAGGGCTTCTAAATGGTACTTTTATGTTATCGGAATACATATATGAACACTAATATCTTTAAAAAACATCTGCATGAGCACAAGATGCTTTATGCAGCTATTCAGAGTTTCAGTTGTTCTTCAAATACAAAGTATTACAGTTGTTCTGAATATATAGTTCAAAAATTACATTCTATTGAAAAATGCCTTATTTATTGAAAATAAGTTAAAGTGATTATTAGTATTATTCATGAAATAATCTCCAAAAAGGATTACACTCGACATTTGTCTATAGATTTGATTTTCACTCCATTATAGTAATTATGTTGGGGAAAGCTAGGAATTTAGCATAAGTAGGTAAAGACATGATCAAGACAAAAGCAGAAGCCATTTTTTGCACTGCACACAGGCTTTCGGGGAAAGCCTTTAACTCACATTCCCACTGTCTCAAAGAAGAAAAGGAAAAAAATACAGGAAAAGACTACTTCCAAAAGAACCTGAGAAACATTTTGCCTTATTTCTCAAAGCTCATGAACTGGATGATTATCAGTAAGCGAACTGCTAAAATTCGTTTTCCAATTCTAACGTAAATTATCTAAGTCCCTCTAAAATACTGCATAAGCTGAATTTCTCAAAGCTTTATGAGACCATGCCAACACCAATTTTAGTGACATACGTTGCTAACAAATTTGCCCCAATGTATCTCCCAAAAGCACAGCTGAAGACTCACTTAAAGGATCTAGCATATCATTCTGCAGTTTTCATGGGCAACACCATACTGTACTTTTACTGATAGCTTCAATTTAAAAAGGTTTTAGATTTCATCTGTTTTCAAGCTATGTTAGCTAAACTGCGGGCTACTAGAGAGAGCAGTCCAAAACGTCACCGATGATCTAAATTTCAGCCTCAAAAGGTAGATTAAGGGAGATTCACAGCTATGTGGGGTTAAGTTTGATACATTAGTTTTAATAAATGATCATTTGAAAAAAACGGCTTATTTTAACATTTTCATAGTCCTTTCATTTCAACAGTTTTAAGACAGTGCTTGATTTTTATTTGAACTGCATTTTCAGCTTAGGAATAAATACAAATTTTAAAAGTGAAGGAAAAAAAACAGAGGTAACACCAACAAAATGAAAAAAAATCAATCTGATTTAAGTGAATTTTGATGAGGCTGAATTGAAACAAAGTTGGACTGGGTTTTTTACTGCAGCTTGAGATGAATGGAATTTTTTCTTTCAGTTCAACATGAATTCTTTTTATTTTAACAGTCTGGTAAAGAAACACAAAAAAAAACCCCAACCCAAACCAAAACAAACACACCAATCAATCTCCCAGGCCGACGTACTCCAAGGTCTGAGAGATTTTTTTTCCTTCCTACTGTACACTACTCAATTCTGAGGCCAAACTGTTTACACAGCTAACACCAGATTCACAGAATCTAACCAATAAAGCTCCTCTCCTCCCCGCTGCCAAATTACACTAGATACACAAATTCCACTCCAGTCCAACCCAAGATCTAGGTGCTCCCTTCCCTTCCCACCCTTCTAGTGCTGCATCCTTAATGACTTTAAGGCAACCCAAAGTTCCCATTTGTGCCTTAATCTTCACTGTCTTACTAAAAAAAAAAAAAAAAAAGGTTACAGTTTTTCATCAAGAGTCCTGGTCTTACCATTTGGAACCAGAGCAAATATCTGCAAATCTCTCTCAAGTATCTGCAAAATTAACATTATGTAACATTGACAATATTACAAAGTAACTTTACTGATTTGGGGCCCTTTTTTTTCCTTGCCAAAATGTCTGTAATCTAGCAAACACATCCACTCAACTGTAAAACATACAGAAATGTGTTTGCAAGACCAGGGCTTCAGTTATTTTCCTCCCCTTCCCCACTGCCTGCCTAGTCTATAGCACTTTCAGCTATTCTATGACTAATATCTCTTTGCTTTTCTGTACTGTTTATAAAGCAACTATATCTTCAGACAAAAGGCAAACAAAGCTTCCAATAATGTTAAAGTAACAGGAAAATTAAATGCTAGAGGAAGAGGAATACAGGACTGGAAACAAAAATTTACTAGATCACTGAGTTACACCTATTTCTATCTTTGCCACAGTGGTATGTAACCCCTCCGATAAACTGAAAAATCTGTTTAATAATTCATATTATTGAACTTGCTGTCAAATCAATCCAACACTAAGGGATCAGGTAGTCTAAATTGCGCCTCAGATTCTGATGTTGTAAATAGTCAGCTTCACTAAGCTTAACACTACAGCTTACTTCAAGTAGCATACAATTCAAGAGGTGTGTGTGATAGCAACATTGGGTCCTGAATCATCATAATTATACTCTCAAATAACTTGCTTCTTTCTAAAAAGGTTACTCTTTTTATTGACAATTAGGCAAAAGACAGAAGCTCAAGAAAAAAAATAAAAATTAATCTTTTTATATTTCCATTGGACCATTTTCCCAACTTTCAGCTATGTATCAGATAAATGCCTCTCAAATAGTCTCTGTGTATTTTTGCCTTCCTTTCACTAGAAATATTTTCATTGAGCTGGTTTGCATTATAATACTACCAGTTTTGCAGTCTGTGGCTATGGATAAGTTCCAAGCAAAACAATGCATTTGGCACAAAGCAAGGTTGATTTAGTGTGTTGGCATTAATTACCCATTTTGATTAACAGTCTTTCAAGTGCTTTATGCTTTAGTGTTAAAAATTATGTGCATGTTTAATTCAGCAAGAGGGCTAGCTGATTCTGTAGAAATTTATCCAAATACATTTCTCATTACAAATACGAAAGAATTTGCTGTAAGCATGGAAATACTAAAAAGGTGAGAGGGAAACAAGAAAAGATAGTTGTGTTCTATAGCAAAAATATTAGCATGTACTGCTACATCTTACTAGCTTAAAAAAAAAGCTTTTGGATTTTCTACACTGTTTAAAGCTGTATAGCATGTTCCTTTTAAAACACATACTCAGGTTTGGAAAACCGTGTAAATTCGAATTTCACATCAGCTTCTGTTCTAACGTAACAGCTAAAGCCAGCCATGGATACCTTTGATGGCCATGTCAACTGCTACACGGTTGTATTATCCTGAAAGGCAGATTCACCTCTTGCAAACCATGGACACCACAATTAATTTTTTCTCCCCAGTGTACATCATACATAAACAATGTATGTTCCAGTGTCTCACTGTAGCAAAATGCATATGAATATGGTTAAATTAAAAAGAAAAAAAAAAAATAGTCTCAATAGCTTTCATCTCCCTTAATTGAGCCACAATGTACCAGAAGAGAATAATAAAGGTGGTATCTCAGCAGTACTATAGATCATTATGGAGGTGCTGCAGAGGATATCTTCATGACAGCTGCTATTTTCCAGCAAGGATGAAGTTCTGAAAACACTGAAGTCAACAAAAAAATTCCCAGCAACATCAACAGAAGTTGTGTTTGGCTTAAATACATTACAGCATTTGTTTAAATGTCTCTTATCACTACAAGAGACCTCCGTAAACTACTCTTTTTAAAATATTGCATGTAATTCATGCCAATAGTGTTAATTATGGTAATTAAGGTCAGAGTAATTTTATAAACAAGACCTGTATTAGCTATAAATTTTAATTATAGCTACTGTTCCTCAGTTGGGAGTAACTTAATGTACAGAGCTACTACCCCAAATTACATGTCCTCTAATTTTTTTCTACTGAAAATTAGTGAGAACAGGAAGAACAAAGGAGGATAGAGAGTATTTATATCACATGAATGAGTAAAATGCTTCACACTTGATTTAAATTCACACTTTCTGATGCTATACATTTCATTCCAGATATGAGTTCTGGCATCTTTATAGAGCAGACACCACAGTACAGTATCTAGGCACACAAAAAGGGAATTCCAATGGAACATACCCCTTGGTCATGTCTCAGGCATATGATTTGCTACAGTCACTAAGAAAACTGGCTGTTTTATTTGAAGGGCTGGCAATTCACACTTCAGCCTACTGCATGAAAGTGTCTGCTAGCATATGAGCTGGACAGAGTGAATATTCAATTGTTAGCTCTTCCTCTTCTCCACTAAAACATCTCACAACCACCAAAACCGGTACCTCTCTTTACCAGTTTCTGTTGCCCGAGGAGGACCCCTTTTACAGCACACCACAACACACTCAGGACTCTACAGCTGGTTATTCACATCCCATCTTTGGGATCTCTGTTTCTCTCTTCATTCACCTTTTATACCTCTGTTAATCCAGTTAGACCTCCAGGGTCCAAGTCAGAAATTCAGAGCATTGCTCTAGCTCATAGAAACAGCAGGAACTGCAAGACCATCAGCCTGGGCTTGTTTGATGAAATGAGTGAGAATTGCAAGGCAGGGTTTAGAAAGACGCTAGATTTTAAGAGAGAGATACAATTGGATTTACTGTCAAAACAAATGCTGTAAGAATTTCCAGAACTATTTTACTATTACTGAAAACACGTCTGAGGAACATGCTGCCATTATGCTAAACAAGCCTGTTGCAGTATAGAATAGGTTCAGCATAACAGATTCCATGCAACACAGTAACGAGTTGTTATTTTCTTCAGCCCGGAAGTATATTAAACTAAAAAAAAAGTGTTCAAGTCATGTGAATAGCATTCCCTCAGTCATTCTGAGCAAGCATCTCGAATTCCACATTTGATTTAGAGTTAATGATCTTAATCACCAATGCCCAAGTCTCAGACTCAGCCATCAGAACCATACCCTGACAGGCATCTGGGCAGCCATACAATACTGAGTGCAAGAAGCATCAGACATCTCAGAAAGATCATCCTGAGGTGCCCATGTGCTGACTTAAAAGCTCAACAGGTGGGTCAGAAATCCACAGAGCCGGACACAGACAGACAAAAAAAAAAAAATCTCTGAATAGGAAAATCTCTGAATAGGCAGACGAGTCAGTCTGAAGGGAGAAATAATTTTAGCAGGATGAAGGGAAAATTCCTTGTGAGAACTTAGTCCAGTTACTTGGCTACATATTTTAAGCTGTGATCTACTTTTCAATATGCACTACATTATTAGTATAACTACAGAAAGAACCCTCCAAAGTAGTTTAAATAAATGTCATCCATACTTACTTTGGCAATATTTTTAACTGGTTTTCTCTAAGTTCCAATATCTGGAGTTTAGTTAATCTGTAACAGAAAGGCATAACAAATTATCACAATATACTGTATTTTATGACAAGAGCAATCACTGAACTTACTCATATTGCTGAATTTCAAAAAAGATCTACAAGTTCAAAATATTTTTTCTGTAAAAATAAAAATATGTTTTGTGCATAAATCTGCATGTTATTTTAAATTCATTTATTCATTGAGGTTCAGTTTTGGTAAAGCAGCAAACAAACTAGATCTTGCCTGCTTTTCAGCACCTATTTGAACACATTTGTTTTCCTTCATCCCAAAGATTTTAAAGCACTTCATTGGATCATTATAGGTACATGTTATCATCATATACAGAAGTACACAGGAAGTAACAGAAGAAAGGTAGGATCAGTCCGCACAAGTTAAGATGCTGAATTTCTAATACTGGCAATGTATCAAGCCATTTCATATAACAAGCCTCATCAGAGGAATACCTGTGGTCTTCCACATGGTAAACACAACCTTTGAATTCATTTCCTTCCAATGTTCTCTTTCTAGTCAGCTTCTTAATCCATTTTTATATTTCTGTTAGAAGGCAGTTTGACCTTTCTTTCAGTAAATCCTTGGTTGCACGATAAATAACCTCTAAATACCAAAGTCAACTGCTTGGCCAAGATAAGTTCAAAGCAGTCTTGACATTCAAGCAATGTACCATCCCCAGTGGAATTTTTGCATAAGGACAGCAGTGACAAGACTATCTCTTTGTTAAATGAAACGCAGAAGCTGAGTTTGGTTTAAATACAGACAGGATTGTAAAGACAAGAGTTCTACATGTGACCCACTAACAGCCCTCATACAACACAAAATAGGGTATTAAGCTCCCTGACTTAAAAAGGAGCTTAGTGAACAGACCAGTCTTTCCTGAAGGTGCTTAACTGAGTATGTTGTAAGGATAGAGACAAAAACCTTAATTTTGATTAAGAACTATACTTAAAATAAAAATAGAAAGCTGGAAACAGTATTTATTTTTCCTCTAGACATTCGCTCATTTTTGGATGCATTTGAAAGTAGCAATCTGCCATGCCTGCGAATAACCTAAGAATATAACAGTCACCTTGAAACAGAGCAGAGGTCAATGTAACCCAGCATTGCAAGCACTACTTGCCATCTGGTAGCAACTGCTGGAGGGGAACCTCCTCCCCGCAGCCTCTCAAAGAAAAACCAACACTCCAACAGTGCTGAAAGAATACCCTAATAAAAATAAAGTTCATGGTAATATCACTGCTGTCAAACTAGGACATAATGAAAGGATTTCCTAGCCTTCTTACCCTACCTGCACCCTACGATACCAATTTGTGACAAAACAGAACTTGTTTGTTTAAGCACCCTCAGATTTGAATGGTCATTTTGGGCTTGGACTTCTGAACCCAAGAACAACCAAACACTGCATTAGGCACCAGTTGGTGTTTTGCTTTGATGACGGGGAAAATAGCTATACAGTTTGTAGGTTTTCTTCACAACATGAGTATCCAGCCAAATTTCTCAGAAAGGAGTAGAAGCAAACCTCCATTCATATGCTAACTATAGATGTGTACACCGACACTCTGTTGACTTTAGCCACAACTGACTGTACTACACTTCTAATAAGCTAACTCTGTGAACTTAAAGACTGCCTTTGGTGATAGAAAGATTCATAGCTTTGTGACCTTGTTTCACGTTCTGTTCTTTCTTCAGCTAACCCTAAGAAATTGGAGATACAAATATTGAATTTCTTATGTGTAAAGCTACACAGAGGCTACTAGGGAAACATTTTCAAACTCTCCTAGCTGGGAGATACAGGCTCCGTCTAAACTAGTAATTTTCTTGCCATAATTAATGAGAAATATTGGACTGAAGCAGTTTTTACTTCTTCCATTATGACTGGAAGGGTTAATTCAAGTTTAATATAATAATACACATCAAATTCTCAGCCTAGCTGCTCTTTAAATTGCTGGTGTAAACACCCATGCTAAGCATCTGAATTGTTATAACGGAACTGAAAAACTGAGGTTTAAGTTGGAAAAGAAATACAGACAGAGAACTAGTCCACCTATACTAAAGGAAAAATAGAAGTCGTAGTGGCAGAACATACATTTCCTGTGGCATTCTATCACAAAGATTTGTCATACTTATATGGAAATATTTCATTTCTCAACTGTAAAAACCCATAACCACAGAAATATTTACACATCACCTACACACAAAGCTGTAACAGAGTATTATTCAACTTTAAGTATACCTGGTGTAACAATCTCAACAAAATTACTTTTGCTGCATGGTTATTTAATGTAACCAACTTAGCCTGCTTTTAAAGTATAGTTCAACTTTTAAATAATAAAAAAAATCTCTACATGAACACCTTGCCAGGATATGATCAATATTCTTTCTAAATCTGATCTAATTATATAAGCTGTAAAAAAACATAAAAGAAATATATAGCAGGCATGCTTAGAAACTTGCTGTTCAACAGCAGTCATTCCTTGGAAAGCTAAAAATATTTCATAGAGAGATGTTCTTTATTTTTCACCTCCTTTGCAGTTTTGCTAATGCAGAATACTTTTTTTTTTAAGTTGTAACTGAAACATAAAGGCAAGAAGACTGAAATATATGTATCCTATAGCAGGTTGCATTCGCAAAAGTTTCAGCCAAATTGCATATATGTAACTAAATTAAGTCCCCAATTTGATTATCACTGTACATTTGTGTAAAAAATTATCCCAAAGCAGATACTACTAAAAATATCTACTACTGCAAATACTACTGGCAAATTGTTGAGAAAGAAAATTAAAAGTAAATTCACTGCAACATCATAGTAAAAAGTCTCTGGAAGCAATACCCCATTACAGACAACATTCTCAGAGTTTTTAGAATGACACTGAAGATAAACTCCTTGCTTATCTTAACACCTATCAGCAAATAATGTTTCCCTTTTAAAGCCCTATCTCAAAATCAGCATGTAGTAAGCTTCAAGTTTAGAATCCTCTGCTTATGTATTTGTATATTTAAATGTAAATATATATGATGTATTTGGATACAACAGATACGGTTTTCTTAGGTAAGCATAAGCAATTCTCAGATTTCTGGACACTGGCATAAAGGCTAACTCTGCAATCCATGCCAACATTAATGCATTCAAATTAGAATTTGGGAGTGGAGGGAAAAAAAACCCCACTTTATCACCTCAGAATTCCGAAGGAACTGGCACATTTAATCAAAAGTCTGGTGATTTTTTTTAAGTCTAACAGGCTGGACTGGTACAACATCACTGAAGGACAGCAAGCATGCAATGCTCATAAAGAAGGGGAAAAAAGATTGGATAATCTTGACCTCAATAGTATGCAAAGTTTTAGCACAAATTTTGAAGGCAAGGATAAAGCATGGAGGTAAATGTAATAAAACATGTAAAAAAAGTAAAAAAATGCTGCATGGATATACCAAAAGTAGTTTGCATTACACGAAGTTTTCTTTTCTAAACATCAGGCTGAATGTTACAGATGAGGTGCTCAAAGACCCATTTTGGGACTATCCTGTTCAATATTTTTTAACAGCAACCTTAAAGGATAGCAAAAATGTTTAAGTTGGCTGATGCTACAAAAGACAGTCAGAGACAATACACTGAATTATTAGGACACCGTAGGGAAAAAAACTGTACAACCTTCAGGGGTGAAAAAAAATAGAAAAGGGACAAGATGTTATAGCACCAAGTCAAGTACTTATGATTTCCTTGTAGAGTCATCAGCCATTTCTAACTGAGCTGTCCAATGCATTAGTCGATCATGTGGGAAACAACACTAGGCAGCTGCAAAAAGGGCTAGTGGAACACTAGAGTGTAACTGCAGACATTTCCAAGAAAAACAAGAAGATAATCATGACATTGTACAAGCCATGAAGAGATCTCAATTTGAATTCTAAATATAGCTATGCATGTCGTCAGCCTCTGTCAAAAAGAAGATGATGAATTCAAACTGAAACTCATTCCAAGACATATTAATATAATCAGGCACAAAGGAAAACCTACCATACCAGAGGGAACGAGAATTGGAAAGAGAATTTTGTTTAGTCTAACAATTTAAAAGAGTGGTATGAGAACACTATAAAAACAGCAGGTGAGAGAATGGGGGATAACACTTGTGAGAGATGACAGCAATTAAAATGTGGAACAAATGAATATGAACAGTCAGAGAGAAATTGATGTGGGAAACCAGGTTTCTAACTTGAACTGCTGGAACAGAGACCCTGACACAAGGAGCATAAAAACATTGCTAGCTTTAATATGGCATTGGCTTAGTTTTTAAGAGGCATTATTGCCTATAGTTTCCAGCAAGAGCAGGCAACAGAACTCTGTTACTTCATGTGTTCCCATGCAATGAAAAGTAATAGCTATAAGGCCACATACAAAACAATTAATGCACCAAATTGGAAGAAGCTGAAGCCTTGTCCTTTATGGGAATAACCAACAGTGCTCTAAATATCCCAGAAGCTTCTACCAAAGCTTTTTTGTTTGTTTGTTTTTTTAAAAAGTATTCCCATATTCTGAAGTACAAGTTAAAAGACCGTTTGCACTAGCAAGCATTTATATATCTAGCTGTAAAGCTGTGGGGTGGCAAAGCAGTCTGATCACTTACAGAACAGAAGTACTTAATGTCAAAGGGGGTCTGAACCTTACTTTGAAATGGCATTTTACCAATTCCTTGTTTTCTAATTTATTTGATCTAAACATTATCTTCCTATAAAATAGTATTTATTCTGTGCAATACCGTTGTTAGCAGGTAAACTTATATAAATACTTTGAATTCATTTAAAAACAGATGATGAGAAAAATCTTAATTTCAGTTTCATTCTCCTAGCTACAAGATAGGATGCTGCAAGTTACTATTTATATTTTAAAAACCAAGGTTGAATTCTTCATAGCTATTAAGAGAAACACTACACTGGAGAATTGGCTTTCAAGTTGCCTTCAGTAACTGATTTATTCTTATGCTGTTAGTAATTAATGACTTCACCATTTCCCTAACCATTAAGCATTATAGAAGCAGACAGTGATGAAGAAAAAATTATAATGAGGCTTTTTTAAACTATGTGTAAAATCAACTACTTATAAGACCAACTGTGTCAACATGAAGTCTTCAATTTCATCTGTAGTGCCTGGTTTTTACTAAGAAAATTTTGCCATTTATTTAGACTATTAAAAAAACAGAACAGAAAAATGCATAGGCAATCGTTAAAATGCCAACAAGTAAAAACTATGCATCTTCCAGATATTTCTTCTTCAACCTCAGTGAAGGCTTTTGAAATGCAAACTTTGTGTACTAGAAACAAGCACGATAATTCATGCTCCTGCATCATAAGCAGCTTTTTTGTTAGCTGAGAGTGTAACAGACCTGGTGCTTTTAATTGTTCATCAGGGAATGACTAATAACTGGACAGAGAAGAAAAGGCCAACAACTCCAATCACAAATGACTAAAAAACTAATGGACTGCACCTGTGCTCATCTTTCATTGTACATCTCCAGATCTGCCAAACTTCTGCAGCACTCTGTTTGGGGGCTTTTCTAATCTCTTCTAAACTGTGCTGACCCAACTATAACCATACAGCCTAAAGCAATTGCTTTCACACAGCTTAACACAATTAACTAATAGCCTTATTTCCTGAAAGAGAGGCTTGCTGGACATGAGATGGAGTAGGAGAGTGACAATATAGGAAAAGAGAGCATAAAATAAAAGTGAAGAGAGGGCAAAAAAGCAGAAATAGCTAAATCAGCATAACAAGGAGAACAGAATGAACTATGCTCATCTAGGAGTCTTCCTTTTAACAATATTATCCTTTTGCTCCCAAGATTTAATCCATCTTAAAGAGGTAGGGGTTTAGTATTTGTCTTGTATTTAACCTATCACACTGAAAAATTTTGCTTAGTCAGCACACCATAAATATGCTAAGTCTTTCAGAAAGACTCCTGACAACAAGGCACTTGAGAATTATAGATGTAAATGAAGGAATCTGTGCATCCAGGAGAGGACAAGTGGAATTACAGACGTCATTATTTGCTTCACTCCAATTACTAAATGATAAACAACCTGTATTTCAGAAATACTAGAATCCCATACTTACCAGACTTGTATTATAAAAAAAGCAAGCATGTAAATGAGTTTTATTTCCTGGCTCTTTATTAGCATTCTGTCTGTCCTTCAAAAGCCCAATTGAAAAATGGTGATAAAGATTCAGGGTTTTTTTCTGTAACTCATAATGGCATACATGCATTGGTAATGTGCACTTCTTCCCCTACTCCAGTTCACACTTTGCTTGAGAAGTAGCAAAAACTGCTCTGCATAAATGTAAAACTAAATGTAGATATTAAATTTCAAATTCAACTTACCTGCCAAAATTGGCTGGCAAAAACTCAAGAAAAGCATCATTCAGGTACAGCTGCGTTAGATTTAACAGTTGGGAAAATCCATCTGGAAGCCTATATAGAAATAAAATAATGTAGTGACTTTGTTTAATTTATATTCAGGGCATTAAGTCATATTTTCTTAAACAACTGTATAGTATTGAAGTCGTACATATTGAAAACATTAAAATTAAAGTGGTGTCCTGGTTTCGGCTTGGATGGAGTTGATTTTCTTCCTATTAACTAGTATAGCGCTGTGTTTTGGATTTAGTATGAGAATAATGTTGATAACACACTGACGTTTTAGTTGTTGCTAAGTAATGTTTACGCTAGTCAAGGACTTTTCATCTTCCCGTGCCCTGCCAGGTGCGCAAGGGGCTGGGAGGGAGCATGGCCAGGATGGCTGGCCCAGCTGGCCAATGGGCTATTCCATACCATATGAAATGAGGCTCAGCATATATTCCCCCTCAGGCTGGGGGAAGAAGAAGGAGGGGGAGACATTCGGAGTGATGGCGTTTGTCTTCCCAAGTAACCACTACACGTGATGGAGCCCTGCTTTCCTGGAGATGGCTGAACCCCTGCCTGCCGATGGGAAGTAGAGAATGAATTCCTTGGTTTGCTTCGCTTGTGCATGCGACTTTTGCTTTCCCTATTAATCTGTCTTAACTTAACCCATGAGTTTTCTCACTTTTATCCTTCCAATTGTCTCCCCCATCCCACCAGGGGGGAATGAGCGAGCGGCTGTGTGGGGCTCAGGGGCTGGGGGG